CCTTGAACTTTTCCCCTTCTTTTTCTGATACTGCTGGTTTCCTTTTGTAGACCCATTTGCACCCAATGGTCTTCTTTCCCTCTGGAAGCTGAACTAGCTCCCAAGTGTGGTTTTTCTGCAAAGACTCCATCTCCTCAACCATTGCACCCATCCATTTCTCTTTCTCCTGGCTAGTGATAGCTCCTTGTTATGATATGGCTCATATACCATATAGGGACAGACGCTGGAACGAAGCGGAGCGGAGCGGAGCGAAAGAATCTGTCCAAATTGGGAAGTTACGTTATATGGGTTGGGGCTATACGGCACATGGGTAATTTGGGAATTACATATTGTACTGCAGGGCTTACTCTAAGATTATAAATAAATCTATTTGTAATCTTAGGTCTTTGAGAGAGAGTTGAATTTTGTATTTTGTATTCTTTTCTGAATATTGAAAAGAAGATCGTCGCTCTGCTCCCGAGGATGTAGGCATCTTTGCCGAACCTCGTTAAATCTCTGTGCTTTTCTGGAATTGTGTCGATTACTGTTTTTCTTCGCCCTAATTTTCTCAACAAGTGGTATCAGAGCCTGGTTCGAGGGGAAGAAAATTTTCTTCGGCGGCGTAAGAAGAACGATTTGGAGGCTTGGCTTCTGCGTTTTGGGAGAAGGTTTCACGTGGTTTGCCGGTTCGGTTGTTCGCGGCTATTCAACGAAGCGGATTCGGACGGAGCTCGGGCGGGCTTCAGAAACGGCCGAAAAAGGCAGAAACGACAGAAAAAGGAGAAATTCTACCGAGTAGAAGATCGCCTTTCCTGGAAGGTGTTTTTTGCGGCTGTTTGAACAGAAAAAAGAGGAATCGGCGACGACTTCGGCGAGGGCTCCGTCAAAGGCGATCGGGCGCAAAGCAGAGAAAGGAAATAGTGGAGGCCCGGAAAGGAAGCTGGGCGGAGGTCAAAAAAGGAAGGAGCGGTCCTGCGGCAGAGGGAAGAATTAAATTTCGGACATTCCATTGCTGGCAGCGGAGAAGAAGGGAATCCCTGGACAGGAGGCTACTTTGCTGTCTTGGAAGATTAAAATTAGGAAGGATTTTCAAATATCCTTGCTAGTGCTAAATTTTCCTTGTTGGAGGCTTGTTTCCTTTTCTGCAGACGAGAGGATCAAGGGAATCAAAGGAATATTTTCTGCCAGAACAGGGAAGTAGTTTAATTTCCCTTACTGCAAGAAAATTGATTATTAGGAGAATTGATTTCACTTAATTAAAGGAAAGCTTTTTAATTAAATTGTTTTAAATCAAATTAAGCAAATTTAATTAAGAATTTTCTTTGCTGGATAAGCAGAGGAAATAAAGGAAATATTTATTTCTTTTCTTGGAGGCGAAGAGGAAATTTTTTGCTTTGCTCGAAGATTTCAATTTTTTCTTTCTTTCTTTTTTTTTTTTTCTTTCTTTTTTTTTTAAAAAAAAATAAAAGGTCTAAGCAAGGATTTTTGCAGAGGAATTTTTTTGCAGAAAAGTTTTTGTTGCAGGATCAAAATTGTTCGCAAGGTGGACGGACTCACGGGAACGAACAGGTGCGAAGCAGTTCGGATAAAGGGCTACGGCAGTTCGGCGAGTTATGCTTCGAGGAGTTCGCGGTAGAGGCGTCGTCGCGATTTTGAGGCGCGACAGTTCATGAACATTCTCGGCATTAGGCGAGGTGGAGTTCGCGAACAGGAGTTCGTGTGCAGTTACCGCGAACAGGAGCGTTTGCAAACAGAGGAGTTTGGTGGTGTTCGACCAGCGGAGTTTGCAAGTTCGTCGCAGGTGGAGTTTGCGACAGGTGGAGTTCGGTAGGGTGTGCGGCATGTGCAGTTGCAGCGGAGTTCGCAGATTTGTCGCAGGAGTTGCTGCATGTGCAATTGCAATGGAGTTCGCAGATTTGTCGCAGGAATTGCGGCATGTGCAGTTGCAGCGGAGTTCGCAGGTTTGTCGCATGAATTGATAGGGTGCTGGCGAGCGAGTAGACGCGATTATTCGCGAACAGTGGTTTTGCGAAGGATTTCACTCACGAGACAATAGTTTAGCCGAGGTGCTGGCGCAAACAAGAAAGGTGCTTCAACCCACATTTGTGCATAATAAACTCCATGAGATTTTCTCCTAAAGGGCTGAATATTCGCAAGGTGGAGATTTTCTCCTAAGGGGCAGAATGTTCGCAAGGTGGAGATATTTCTCCTAAGGGGCTGGATATTCGCAAGGTGGAGATTTTCTCCTAAGGGTTGAATATTCGCCAAGGTGGAGAATTATTAGGTATGACTCATAATACCAGGATTTGGAGTCTCTTGGAATGAAGAGATGTCTCTTGGAATTGAAGAGATGTGTCTCTTAGAATTCAGTGGGTTGAGATCAGCGATGGTGCAGCAGAAGCATGATGGCCTAACCCACATTGTTGCAGGTGTAACTCCCAGATATCTTTTCTCCTAAGGGGTTAGATATTCGCCAAGGTGGAGATTTGTTATGGTATGACTCATATACCATATAGGGACAGACGCTGGAACGAAGCGGAGCGGAGCGGAGCGAAAGAATCTGTCCAAATTGGGAAGTTACGTTATATGGGTTGGGGCTATACGGTACATGAGTAATTTGGGAATTACATATTGTACTGCAGGGCTTACTCTAAGATTATAAATAAACCTATTTGTAATCTTAGGTCTTTGAGAGAGAGTTGAATTTTGTATTCTGTATTCTTTTCTGAATATTGAAAAGAAGGTCGTCGCTCTGCTCCCGAGGATGTAGGCATCTTTGCCGAACCTCGTTAAATCTCTGTGTTTTTCTGGAATTGTGTCGATTACTGTTTTTCTTCGCCCTAATTTTCTCAACAATCTTCCTTAAAAAAAAGGCAACTATGCGTTGCAAATTTTCTCCCGAGCATTTCATTTTGACATTTTTGTCCATCAATTCTCCATGTAATTTTCACTGGCTTAAACAGGATACTTTTGCTCGAATGATAGCTGATACTGGATTTTGGAAGGTTGAATATGAGAATCTTGTTGGGGGGGTTGTTGCCATTCATTCTGCAGTGAAGTGGTAGGGAAGAGCTTCGCATTTCATTCTTCAATTATCATTTAAATGTAAGATTTAATTGACTTCAGTTTCTTCTTGGCATCAGAAGCATTTTATTTTATTTTTTTGTTCTTTGCTGGAATTAAGCTCGATATGGATGTTAATGAAAACTAACAGTTCTTGGTCTTTTGTTCTTAGTTCAGTTTTTACAATCTATATTAACTAGAGGGCTTACCATTTCAACCAGTCTTACTGGCCAAAATAATCTGCGTAATTTGCCTTCTTGATGAAACTCCGTGAATGTATACTATGAGCTCTACGAAACTATTTCCGTACATAGCACTTAATTCTTAAGCATTTACATATCTCACACCTAAACTCTGAATTTTACAGCCAAAGTACCTTTCTTTTAGTTGAATGTCTGTAATTCACTTTTTAATACTTAGGTAGGGGTGCTTTGAAAGTAAAAATTTAGAGTATGGGTGTGAGATATGTAAATGCATAAAAATTTCCAAATAAAAAAATATTGTTCAATGGAGACAATTAAGTTGAGTGCGTAGTGTCACCTCCCAAAAAAGCCCTTAAGAGAGGTGGGCAGTCCAGGATTTAACTACTGTTTTTCGGCCCTACACTTAGCCGATGTGGGACTATTTGTCCGTGACATTCTCCTCCACCCAATCACGTGACGCCCTCGTCACGGATCGGCTCCACCGAGGGTCCCACTGGACCATGTAGAGTACACACACAGCAGACAGTAATCTGCTCTGATACCACTTGTCACCTCCCAAAAGAGCCCTTAAGAGAGGTGGGCAACCCAGAATTTAAATACTGTTTTTCGGTCCTACACCTAGCCGATGTGGGACTATTTGTCTGTGACAGTAGGCTTTTCCATTATGAGGCTATGTATTCAAAATCTTTGTTATGCATCTGCTGTGTGCTAATTAAATTTGATCAAATTTTTAAATAATATAAATAAACGATGTAATGGATAAAATTCATATACCTGATTTTTGAATTATAATTTTAAAGATCACAACTTAAAATAATGACTTCAAAAATTAAGAACAGAACATTAGAAAATGTAATTTAAATTACGATTTTAATTACAGTGAGAAAATTAATTTTAATGGTTTTAAGTAAAAGTAACAGCAGTTGTAAGTCAATATCAAAATATGTTGATATACATTAAACATGTGTCAGCATGAATCTCAAAGAGATTAAATTGATTTAGAGATTCCATAGATGAAAGATCAAAAGTCTCATCACTGGAAGATAAAAAAAAAATTTGACTAACCAAAGTATAAATTTCTTAGACCCGGACCCGAAGTTGACCAAATGCAGGTCGTCCGAACAAAAAACTAAGATGTACAAAAGTGAGAGAAGGCGCAGCCAAAGTCTCGCCCAGCATCACCAGTCACCTCAAAAGAGCCTCGGAGATTTTCATCAGAAGGTCGATGGTTTTACCATTATACACTGCGAACACGCCGCGGACTTTTTCTCAAAGAGCGAGCCCCCTGTCGAATTACGATAATTTATCCTCAAGCCGATAGTTTAGTCTCATTGTGATGACATGAGCTCCACATATAGGGGTTAATAGTCGATAACTGAATCAAAGCAGACGATCGACAGACTCAAGCCAATCGAGCCGATTCCAGACGATCGAAGATCAAGAAGAGCCTGACAACAGCAACTTAGCATAGTCTAATGAACGAGTCTTATTGAACTAAGACTGGCCAATCTCAACCAACCAAATGATAGAATGGTCGATTCATATGCTTATTTATGTAAATACCCAAAGTGCTCTGTAACTCCCCAATGAAAGTAGGTGTAAGCTTGTAAATACACATTATACTCCCCTTTCCTATAAATAGGGGGCTCATATCTATATTAAATGGCAAATCAATCAGGCGCACATACATTTTCTTCATTCCATTGTTCATTATTCGTGCACTCTCTCTCCCTCCATCTCTTTTTCTCTCTCTTTTCTATTTGATGCTCAATTCCTTAAGTGTGACTCGCCGATATTTTCAGATTCAACAGTTGATGAAGAAATAATTAGGCAAGAAATCAGCTGCATAGAAATTTAGTTCTCAAGCAATATTAGAAATTGGCAGCTGAATTTAAAATCCAACTAATTTGTAGGTTTGCAGTAATCTAACATTTTATTAAACTAAAAATAGCTTGCATTTATAATCACCGAAATTTCCATCGGATGGTCGGCAGTCTCTCTCAGTCCAGCCGAGTTGAGGAAAAATTATTCCATATGGATCGGACACCGCACGCCGCAGCTTGCGTGCGGTGTCCGATCCGGACCGTAAATCACCTGATCTACGGTCCCAATTTATTTTAGTGGGCCCCACCTAATTTTTTAAAAAAAAAAACGGAAATAATTCTGACCGTAGATTACCGTGATCTACGGCCAGGATCAGACACCACATGCAGAGATGCATGCGATGTCCACACGCAATAATTCCTCCGAGTTGAGGGGCATGCGAACGCTGATCCATCCTCCGAAATAAATTACAAAACTCATTTAATTGAATCGTTGCTAAAATGCTTTAAAATGATTTTCAATAAGAAATAAATGAATTTATAATGTTTAGGGTTTATGGCATCTTCTATTAATAATTTTAAAATAATTTTGAGCATAGTTATTATGATTTATTAAATAAAAGAAATAGCAAATCAATACAAGTAGGTTTGTCATGCTAATACACCACAAACATATAGTGTGCTCGCCTTTTTTTTTTTTTTGAAACGCTGAATGTGAATTTAGGGTTTCGGATGCTGCCGGTCAAAATGAGCCCTTATTCCATGAAGACATCAGACTCAAATTTGCGTCCGGAATCTAGTGGTCACTTGTGGCGTGACAAGTGGGCCCCACTGCAATGCACTGGTTGGGTAGGTTTCATAGAAGCGTGGGGCCCACTTGCCGCGTGACGCATGACCACTGGACTCCGGACTCAAATTTTGCGTTTGATGTTTTGATGAAATAATTTTCAGTCAAAATAGGAAGAAATAAAAAATAGTGATATCAAATGCATGAAATAGAGTAAAATTCGAGCCCATTAAAGATTAGAGTAATGTCTAAATTCTCTTTAACTTTTTAAATTTAGAGAATTTTTCATGAAGTATTACTTGGGTTTAAGTGCTTCTACAATTATCATAATATATATATATATATATATATATATTGAATATTTTCACGCAAATAGCTATTATGTTGCGATGCAAATATTGATAATGCTAAAATATTTATATGCATCTTAAGGAATGCTAGTAAAGGACATACTTTGTATGGAGTGACAACCTAATTAATGAAAACTAATTGAATTGCTTAAAAATCAGTTGTAATCAATTACGAACCTTTGGAGTTGAACGAACGGATGTAGACTCTAAAAAATTATTACATCAGGACTACGCATGTATAGTTATGTGCGGAGTCCGATGAAATCAAGTCACGTTGAGGTACAGAAAAAAAATAGGCCCGGTAACACAAAAGAATATTCCTCCCGTGTTATTTTGTGTTATTCAGATGTTATTATATGTTATTGAGATGTTATTGTATTCTGAGAATATTCCCGATGTTATAATAACACAATAACCCCATAAATAACACATGAATAACACACAATAACACATGAATAACACATAGTAACACCTGAATAACACGAGAGGAATATTCTCTTATGTTATCGGGCATATATTTTTTTTTTTCTATCACCGTCACGTAACATGATTTCATTGGACTCCACACGTAACTTTACGTGCGGAGTCCTGATGCAATATTTTCAGTTTTTCTTTTTTTTTAATCTTTTTATGGCATCCATGGTTAATAATTTTTTGGAAAAATGGATACAGCCTAATTCTCTCTCTCTCTCTCTCTCTCTCTCTCTCTCTCTATATATATATATATATATATATATATAGAACCGATAATCAAAAGTAAAAAATCATATAGTTTCATTAAATTGTTTTATTGTTAAGTCGCCAATAGCTGTGTTATGGGATTGCTTAATCAGCCTGTCAATCATGCTAGTTATAATTGTTTCATTTTTACATATTGGGACATCAATAACGAAGAAGGCTTGTTTTGAAAGCCTACAGCAGCGGCTTAAACCCCCATAGCAAATATTGCAGCAGTTCAAAATCGCTGTAAAAATCGTTAGTCTTTGCTCTGCGCCACAAGATCTGTTTACACCGGTCCTAAAACCGCCACGACAAACCCTAAGCTACAGTAGCGGTTTAAACCTCCACAAGTTTATTAAAAAAAAAAAAAGACGGTGGACATTGTGGCGGGTGTTGTTGAGTGTCGATCTTATTTTTTTTTAATTTTTTTTTTATTTTAAATTAAATAACTTGAAATGCAATCCCCACACTAACAGATGATTACAAAATAAAACTTACCATTATAAAGCATTTAAAACAAGAAAAAAAAACAATTTCCCAAACAAACTTATTAATGCATTCTGAAACACAGCACATAAATAGCTAAAATCCCAAACAAATCCCAAAGTTTTAAATTTATACCATACCTAAACTAGCTTAATTAATCATGCGGCAAGCGCACATGTTACGGTTCCATGAATTACTTGAATTGTTGTTTAACATTTGATAGTAGCAGAGGCCACCCTTGTCATTTACAGACGGATGTGGATTGATCCCGCACTCAAATGACACAGATAAAAGTGAAAAAATAAAATACAAGATACAAAATAATCCCAAGCCCAAAAGTTTAGCCTTTCATATTTCCCTGAAAAATTACACATTTGACCATCTAAAACAAATAAAAATGGTTGGAAGCTCTCATGTTGAGAAAGAACAAATTTTCAAATACTATAAATCCACACCATGAATAAAAAACAAACAAAGTTTATTAAACCAAAAAAGTATGACCCAATTATCTAGCTTGCACAACCATATCGAATGCCTCATTTGTAATCCTCTTTGGATTTAGTCTAAAGGAGAGTGTTCGTTATCTTTCTGTCAATAAAATAATCCTCTTCGGATTTACTCTTTGAATTTATGTACAGTATGCGAACGGCTTGGTGGTGAGTGTATTGTCTGAAGTTGTTGCATAAATCCTATCATTTCATCAAGAAATGAAGTAAAGTTTTCGCATCTCATGCTTAATAACTTATATGCCCTATTCCACACTGGCTACTCGAGTAAAGTTACTGCCTCCACTG